GAGAGGACGAAGCACGCGACGTGGACGCACAAAAGTCATTCAATATGGCTAAGCAGAAGGCGTACGATGCGAGCGACACGAGAGAATTAAACGAAGGGCTCGCGTCGTCGTCAACGGGTCGAGTGCTTGATCACGTAGACATCAATGCGGGGAAAGCAGAGGAACTCAGAGAAGACCTGAGGTGTGGCAAGTGACGTGCGGCGCTGTGAGATGAGACGTCGAGGTTTGAAGCAAGGGCAGCTCGGCCGAATTGGCCGACATCCGTGATCGGAGGCATCGTCGATCTTCGAAAACACAAGAACACTCGAAACGCAGCCGGCGCTAGCTCTGTATTCCTGGGGATTGGTAGCGGTGACGTTGAACGGGTTGGCCATTAGAAGAAACAGGAATAGCAGCACCTCGATTTGAACAAGAGCCTCAGCAATCCCACGACCCAATTCACTGTCAGGAGAATTCTGCGTGCATTGTTACATCATACTGCTTTCTTTGTCCTACTTATGGACCCTTGAATTGAGTGCCATGAACTCAGAGGAACTTTGGCAGAACATAATCGGTAGAATCAGAGATTCTGAGCAAAACCTTGATTCGAACAAAGTCCTCCAGGATTTACCGGGCCGATTTCGGTTATACAGAAGTTCCGGCCACATGTATCGAAATACCACACTTCTCTTCTTGCCCTGTTTACAAGTCGGCTGAGTTCTTAAAATTCAGAATGAAAGGCAAAATGAAAAAATAACCCAAGAGCCAAAGACGCAGAGCAGTACCTTGGTTCGAACAAGGTATCCATGGGTTTCTCTTTGTCATAAGGAGAGACCCACAAGCAGCATTACCCCATACTGCTTTTTTTGGCCCCGTTCCAATTTCCTTTGAGTCTAGCGTGTTTAAAGGAGCCATAGCTGTAATATTTAGAATAAAGTATATGGCTGTAGCAAGTAAACCTAGTTCCTGAACTCACGACTCTAGCCAACGGCTTGGCTAGCTATGCTACACCTATAGGTAGGATACCTGCACCCATTTTGGCTCTCCGCCGGCCCTCCGGGTTGTTATTGTTTATTCTGAGGTCCGGACAGGATCATATGAGACTGATCTGGCAAATATGCGAACTTCTACCATCAGAAAATATCCCCGTGTTCCAAATGGCTTGGCACTGAAATTACCATCGTCGGTTAGCATGCGATTGACATTCGGTGTGGGAATTTGGGGCCCTGGACGGCTGCCCGCGCTGCCAATGTACGTAATTCCTATACCTCGCTTTGACCACCTCATCTTCGATCGCCATTCTTGCCTCGATATATCTGCTGCCATAACATGCAAATAATAGATGACCCTTTTGTTGATGCTCCATAATCGCTGTACCAGTGTTTCCGAAACGGCTGCGGACTCCTTCATGTGGTTGAAAATTTTGCTGGGTTTATGTTTGAACAATAATTCCCCCCCTTACTTCTGCTCCAATCGACAGCATCCATGTTAAATCCGATTTTCAAATCCCCTTTTTCTTCCATGAAAGCGCGTGGAAAAACTTCAGCTCGCTCGGCTACACACGGAGTTCCCTAATCAGGAACTGACAGCTGTGGCGATGACAATCGGATCGTGCACCGGAGGTCAAGCGCCCGGGCGCTTAACGTCGCGAAATTGACCGAAAAAATGGTAAATATCGCTGGTGTTATAACATAGTTCAAGCCCAAAATTGGGCTATTTGAACAATGGTTGCCCCGCAGGGCCCCCTGTCCGCGGTGTCAGGACCAGTGTTTCAGGTTTTCTGCAGGGCAGAGTTCACAATCCGCCGAGGAAATGCCTAGCGAGGTAAAGAATAACTTGTGCTCAATTTCGACCTAGAATAATAAAACCAGTTGCTTCGAAATCCGTCAAAATCTGATCTCTCGCACACACCACATATATCTCTCGCACACACCACGCTTCTGACACCTGGCCGCGAAGTGGCATTGTGAATGACATGGTGACTCTGGTCAGCCAGATTTCGGCTCAAGGGAGCAGAACGTAATGCTCTAGCGCTGTATAAACTCTTTCTTTCATAGGGCAAGAATTGTACTCAGCATAACTAATTCAAAGGAGGGTGCTTTTGAGGCCAGAGCTGAGTAGAAAACGGCCGTTGGGACACGGTAGACATACAGAATTGAAGTTTTCAAAGTGGCATAGCATTTATTGAGTGCTTAGGTGTGTAGAGGAAAAAATTCCAGATGGGAAGACAAGAATCTTGGCTCACCGGAAAGGATCTCAGGATCGTACAGGGAACATGTTCATTATCTCGAAACATTTGAGCATCGAACACCTTGCATTTCCATTAAATCCAAATAAATTCCCATTGAATCAGTGAAAGATATATAATGTGCTCTACCAGAATGGTAGGTTATGGGGAGTTACTGTGGGACCATGAGGAATCAAATACTGATTTTGATTCATCCGCGGAAGTTACCGGCGGGCGCTTGATGAGCGCTTGAGTTAGTGACATGTGTGACCTACATATCATCCTGCTTTCTCTGCTTCCCATCGCCCGACCCGTCAGGGTGCGTGCCGATTGCTCTACCCTCTAGCCTCTCTCATGTTCAGACTCGACATTCAGATGCTTTGAATTTACCTGGGCCCGGGTGCTGAAATATCAATCACCGTTCAAAGATTCACCAAGTTGGGGGGCGTTAGAGCAAAGAAAGCAGCACACAAATCGGAGTGGCTGCGAGCGGGTAATTCTCGGTGCTTTTTCATCATGATTCTTTGTGCATTTCTGTTGGTATGGGCCTAAACTGGCTTTTTTTCTGTTTTTTCTGTTTGTTTTCGGTTCGTACGCTAGTTGCCCTGTTGCACCGCCGCAGCGTAGCTCAGCACTTGTGTTTACCGCAGCCGCGAGGGACTGCGAGGGACTGCAGTATCTGCCAGCGGGCTGCGAGCAACGTACCTGGCTGCCACACCAGCACGGGTTCATGCACGGGTGAAGAACATGCTCAGCACGCCGCTCCTCTTACCGAATGAAATGCAACAGGTGGAGCATGCAGGCTGTGCCTGCGTGAGTGAAACCGGCGGGCCGGGGACGAAAATGGACACGCGCGTATGCTGGTGCAAGTACCGCAAAGGTGGGCGCGGTGCTATCAACGCTGCGGAGATCCACAGGTGTGGAGACTGGCCTGCAGCGGCTGCTTTGCTGCTACCGCGCACAGATAGTAATGGCGAGCCGCAGCCGTCCCGGCCCGTTTTGGGCCCGGGGCATTTTGATAAATTTTCATTTTCTGCAGCTTTCCATTGTATACTTTTGCTTTGCTACTGCCTACAATGTATGCTAGTAAGTGTCTGTGCAATCTGGGGTTTTTCTTTCTCGCAATGATATCAGTGTTTATTATGTAAGCTCATCGTAGGGCTGCGTCCCCGATGCATGATATTAATGTTGCCATCAGAGCAGTCGGGCCGGTTCGACGACGCTTGGCGTCGCTTCCCATTGAAAGGTTGTTCATATGCGATCGTCTCTTGCCGATATCTTGCTCCGTGCGGACATATCTCATCGCCAAATAAAAAAACTTGCCGGTGTTCTCAATATAGTAGGCCCCGGGCATGTAGCCGGCCGGATCGCTCAATATGGGTATGACATTATAACCGCGGACGAAGGATTTAGCCTAAGTACTATGAAACTAGCCAACCCATGGCTAGAGTCGTAAGTTGAGTTAGTAGGTTTATATGGCTAGGTACATACCTGTAGTCTAAATTGTACAGCTACGGGTGTTTAAAGAGCGGTCAGAATAAAATTGAATAGAAAACTGAGACAGAGCGGCACCTTGATTCGAAGCAGACCCCCGGGATTCCATATCCATTCATTCAAAATTCAAAACGGAGGTCCCGCGCGCAGCAACACGCCATGCTTCTTTCTCTCCCCACGTATGGACCTGATTGAGTGAGAATCTCGAGGAATTTTGGCAAATAAAAATTGTGGTCGACGGAGGAATAGCAGCACCCTGATTCGAACATGGACGTCGGGAATCTAGTTTGTCCAGAAAAATATCAAGACTATCCCGTGTGAATCCTTACATCATACTGCTTTTACTGCCCTCTTGTAAAAACGACCAAGTCCCTTAAATTCAGGGGAATCCTGTTAAAAAGAGGGAGTCGTGATGAAGAGCAGTACGTTGAATCGAACAAGGACCTCGGGATTTCACGCCTCCAGTCGAAGGATGAGGGATCCCGTGTGCAATGATACACCATACTGCTTTTTTCCCTCCTGATTCTGGGTACTCACAGATTTAAAGGAATTTTCTTGAAAAATAGCATATTGCCGTCGAAACAGAGCTGTACCTTGACTCGAGCAAGGACTTCGGGCATTACATATTCCGTCAGTTACGAGGAGAACCCTGTGTGCAAATTTACACCATACTGCTTTCCATAGGGTGGTTCTGATGTTGACCGAGTCCTATAAATTTAGACTTTCTTTTAGAACGGAGTTCCTGAACCAACAAGGACATCCCGTATGCACCCTTACACCATACTGCTTTCTGGGCCCCTGACTGAGGGCTCCGATTTAGACTGATTTTGGCAAAGAAAAAAGAAATCCAGACTGCAAACGAGGACCTCGGGAGTCCTTTTTTTGTCGACTCTAATACCCCACATACATCGATACATCATACTTCATCCTACTTTCATTGCCCCTTTTCCCCTGGTGCAAAAAAGTGCTTTAGAGGAACTCTACCAAGAGCAGTACCTTGAATCGAACAAAAACCTCAGGATTTCTTTTGCAGATTTTGCCCAAAGAGACCCTGTGTACATCATTACACCATACTGCTGCTTCCCTTAAGCTTGCCCTTCTCTGAAACTGACTGACCTTTCCGAATTCGGAGCAATTTGGTGAAAAAGTATGCACGAACAGGAGTTAAACTCTCACCGCCCTCTGAGAGGGACCCCGCGTGCAACGTTAGGCTATACTGCTTGTCCTTTTCTGAATGTGAGCAGCGCTACCAATTTAGAGGAATTTGGATGAACAAAAAGTGTGGTTCGAAACCAGTGAAGAGCAGCACCTTGATTCGAACAAGGACCTCGGGAATCAACGGACCTTTTACAAGCAATCTCAGAACCGTCCAGTGTGCATCATTACACCATACTGCTTTCCACAGGGATTTTCCACACTTGAATTGAGTGCAACAAATTTGGAATAGTTTTGATTTGATAAAAAAGCATCCTGCATCCGTGACGCCATAGAGCAGTACCTCGAATCGAAAACGGCCTTCGAGAATCTATCGACATCGTCTGCTTTAATGAATCCCCGGGTGCAGAGTCATACCATACTGCTTTCCCTGTCCGGTTCTGCACTTGAGCTAGTGCTATAATGAACCAAACTTTTGGTGGAGGAGGCGGAAAAAAAGGGACTCAACCAACGAGCCAAACGAGCCAAAGCAATACCCTGATTTGAACGAGGACCTCGGAAATTCATCGTTCTGTGCCATGTAACAGAGAACCCGCGTGCAACATTACACCATACTGCTTTCCTTATCCTGTTTTTTAAAATTCAGGTTTTATAGAGGTGAGGCTAAACGCGCTACTTCGCTGGAGTGTAATTCGCGACTCAAAAGGCATAGGATAATGTGAGGAATCTGGCTCTGATGACCAAAATAATGAGGGTAAGGAGTGAGCGGACCCCCTGAAAAATGGCAAACCTTTGGATGGGTAGGCCGCTTTTCCGGGAGGAAAGACTAGACCAGAGCGAATCTCAGAAGCGGATGTGTTGAGAACAACCGAAACAGTGCTGGGGATTGGAAGTTTTTAGAAAGCCGAGCGAGAGCCCAGAGATCCGCGCTATCAAGGACAGAAGATGAAAACCAGCAATTCGGATGACAGACCCACCAGCTTTGGCATACTATGGGAGGGATGAAAAGACTCAGAACACTAGTTCAGAAAGAGGCGAGGTGGTTGAAGAAGAGAAGTGATGCGGTGCCCATCACGTTGTGCAGGACAAATATTGTGAAATATTTCTTTCTGCTCCCAACGTCCCTCTTCGTATGCACTGCAGCCTCTGCATACCTGAAATCGTATCTCTGATTTTTAACGGGACCCTCAATGGGGCAGAGCAGTCGCTCAATCATCTCAATTCTGACTCGGCGCAAACTCTTGCTGGCCTTGCGCGGACATGCAAAGCCTTCCGAGATCCTGCCCTCGACCTCCTTTGGAAGTCTCAATGCACCGTGATGAACGTCCTAAACTGCATGCCTGGGGATATATGGGAAGTGCTGGATGATACGGACGCGGAAGAAGTGGTGAGTACGGCTAGGCGCTCCGCGAAGCTTCTGGTTCATGTTTTATTTTATTTTCACTTCAGCGACTGAAAAGGCCTGTACTTCCAAGTGACTGGGAGCGTCCGCTCATCTACTCGCATCGCGTCCGACATTTCAAATATGAACTCTCGTACAGCTATCCGGACAGCGCCGCTTTTTATGAGATGCTGCGGATGTGCTTGCCACCCGAACCCTTATTCCCCATCATCGAATCCCTATTGTGGGAAACCACCGACGTCGCACTGTTACCTCACTTTCGCCTTTTCATCGGCCCTCACTTGACCTCTTTGACGGTATCGACCTTCCAATCGGCTTCTCATTTGTCTCTCCTTCCCGCCCTCGCTACGCAATGCCCTTTACTTCGGGAAGTCTGCATTTTGACCTTGGATGGACTCCCCCGGCGCTGTGAGACCGTATCCTTCTTTGTGAAACAATTGACGCACCTCGAATCCCTCGAGGTGCCCTGTCTCGACGCCGAGGCTCTGGACTACCTCGCGAAACGTCCAGTCCTGGATTTTGTTCACTTGGACAACCAAACACCTCTATCCCCCGTCCTGGAGCTCGCTTCCCAAACCGAAGTGCCCTCGTCTTGCGACATCGACATGCTAACCTTGACTGTGACGGATGCCCGTGCCGCCACCGAAGTCCTCGCCCGGTTGCACGCTTCACCCATCCGCAGTCTAGTGATTCAATTCCCGAAGAACACGTCCGCAACCGCGGTGCGGGAGATCTACAACGGCGTTGCGGCGAATTGCAACCACGCGTCCCTCCACACTCTCTCGATCGCGCTACCACCCGCGGGCACTACGGACACCGCCGCGGATCCGGAGCAGATCGCGCTCTACGGGGTGCCCGGAACGCACCTTTTCCCGCTTTTCACGCTCACGGCGCTCACGTCCGTGACCCTCGCGGGCCCCGTCGGACTCGACCTGGACGACCCAGCTGCGGCCGAGATTGCCCGCGCATGGCCGCGAATCACGTCGCTTGACCTCGCCGGCAGCGCGTTCCTGCACGTCCCGCCGCGCACGACGCTCCGCGCGCTGCTCGCCTTCGCCCGGCTCTGCCCCCATCTCTGGCGTCTGTCCCTGCCCATCAACGCGAACAGCGTACCGCAATGGCGCAAGCCCCAGACGGCTGCGGAAGCACGGCCGACACAGCGGTGCCTCAGGTCCCTCCATGTTGGAGAGTCGCCAGTGGGCACGCCCCTGGACGTCGCGGCGTATCTCTCCGGCATTTTCCCGAGGTTGGAGTGGGTGTCGGCTGGCAAAGAGGATTCCCGGGACGAGCCCGTGCGCGCGGAGGTTTTGGCGAGCCAGAGGAAGTGGAAAGCCGTTGAGGCGGCGCTGCCCGTTCTGCGGAAGGTGCGCGTGGAGGAGAAGTATTGGACTCGGCGAGAGTATGAAGAAGAGGACTCGGATTAGTGGCCAGTGTTGTTTCGATCCCTATACTAATAATACCGGTTAGTGAACCATCGGATGCCATTCTTACAACGATTCCAGTGCCCGCATTCTCGGGACCATTCTATAGTCTCAAAGCCGCAGAAGAGCGGGGTGGGCGGAAGAATGCTCGAGTATGTAGCAAAGTTAATTCGGAGCCAACAACTTGGTTTAACCCCGTGTCGATTCTTGCGTGGTCATCGTCATTTGCGTCCGGAACAAAACCTTTTAAGTCTCCGTATCGGTATAGATAGAGGTGTGTTAGACATCCAGTTTTTTTGATGGGTCAGTCAAATTGAACGGTGATGATGATTGTGACGGACATGGCGGCCACGGCGTCATCAATTTATTATTCTGAAGTATCCATTGTATGTGCTGACATTTTAAACGCCAGAGCCATGCCCAAACGCCGAAGGGAACATCATTTTGACTCCGGAACATGGCCTTTACGTTTCATGCCATAGAGCAGTACCTCGAATCGAACAAGGTCCTCGGGAATCTATTGATAACATAGGGTCTGTCCAATGAATCCCCTTGTGCAGCATTACACTATACTGCTCTTCCTGAACTGTTTTGCCCTTGTGGGAGTGCTACACATAATTCAGGAGAATTTTTGGTAAAGGAGGGGAAGAAAAGGGAAATGATTACAAAACCTAAAAGCAGTACCCGGATTTGAACGAGGACCTCGGAATTTATCGCTCTGTGCCATCGAACAGAGAACCCGTGTGCAACATTACACTATACTGCTTTCCTTGTCCTGTTTCCAGGTTGACTGAGTGTGGAAATCGAGGAATGTCGGGGCAAAAAGAATTCGTTGATGCTTAGAGCAGTACCTTGATTTGAACAAGGACCTCGGGATCTATGATCATGATATTTCCCTCAAAGAAGCTCGGCGTGCAGCTTTACACTATACTGCTTTCTTTTACCTGTTCTGAACCTGGCCGAGGGGTGCGGAACTGGAGCAGCTGTGGTATAAAATGATGCGCATGAGAAGTCCAGAACCAACACAGAGCAGCGCCTTGAATCGAAGAGGACCCTGGGATTACCATCTTGTCCGGGAAACATAAGGAGGTCCCATGTGCCGGATTTACCATACTGCTTTTCTTGACCTCACCTGTGCCGAATGAAACCGGGAATCGGGCCGAATGATCGCCGGATGATGACGAGCTTCTTCCTCAGGCTCTCAGTCTGCTGCTCACTGCCCGCGACGCCGACACTCGAAACAACAGCGCGCCAACGTCCTCGGCGTCGGGCACATCGATATCGGTCGGGCATTCCCCCTTCGCGCTTAGCACCTAATCTTCTCTATCACGCCTACCCATGGCCACCACGACCCCGCACTCTTCCACACGGCGGAGCTCTGCGTCTCCGTCTCGCACAGGCTCAAGCTCAGGCTCAGCAAATAATAGTGCTAGCGCAACGAGCAGCGCCGTCTCGCCACTTTTTCCCAGCAGTTCTTGGAGCGATCCCTTGCCGCCGGGGCCCACCACTTCGGATGTGGGGCCCTTTAACGGCAGCCCGCCTGGGGGCGGCGTGGGAGCGGGCGGAAGCATCCAGTCGTCCACGAAACTGTACCGTGCGTCTTTCCACTTTCGATTCGATTGTCGCTGTGCAGCGGCTGATTCTTTTCCTTTTCTTTTTCTTTTGCTGTCACTTTCTTATCGTTGTCTGCGGCTCTGCACGTCTCCATCATCCACGTCTTCCTTTCTGCCGCACTGCTCCCTGGCTCCTTGCCTCGATTTAACGTACCTGAAACAACGCGCGCACCCAGTCTACACCTTCCTCGCCACCCTCATCCTCCTCCTCGGCGTCTCCTCCGCCATCGTCTTTCGCTCCATTCTCCTCCGCCGCCGGCACCGTCGCATGGTCGCTGAAGCCATCGCAAACGGCACATGGAACCCCCCTGCGCCGCGCGTACGCGTCGATTTAAGGAAGAAGCCGAGGCTGTGGGATGCGTGGGTTGCGCCGCCTCTGTTGAGTGTTGTTCAAGGGGGAGGAGAGAAAGACGATTGGGATGGAATTATGGTGGGTTGTCGTTTTTTTTAAAGTTTCTACCTCATCATCCTTCTCTCTCCGTACCTTGACTCTTTGTTTCCTGCCTTCTCTTTTTCTCGTCTCATAACCCTCACCCGCTCTTCTCCCATAGCCCTTCGCAGCATCGTACACCTCTTCCCCGCCTCCCTCCTCTACGCCTCTCTCCCATACAAACGCGTCATCAGCCGCGCTCTCCCGCGTGCCGACGTCGCATTCCTCTGCACCCACTACAACAACAGCGCAGGTCGGAGTAGGTGCAGCAGGAGTCGGAGCAGGAGAAGGTGGGGAAGAGCTACCGCAGCCCCGCATATGCGTCGCGGTGTTACTCGCGATGCCTGCGCCGGGGATGTTCGGCGCGGCGGCGTCT